AAAAAATTTAAAAAAAATAAACTGTCAATACCAAGTACTGGTGAGCAACTGGAAGTTTCATGCATGGCTAGTGGGAATGTAAAATGGTACAACCACTTTGAAAAACACTTTGGAAGATTCGCAAAGTGGTGAATGTGCACTTATGTTTATATCATCTAGTAGTGCTACTCGTAGGTATTTATTGAAGAAAAGTTAAAACATATGCCCACCCAAACATTTGTATGAACGTGTTCCTAGTAGCTTTTTTTATAATAGTTCCAAGGTGTAAATAGCTGAATGCCTATCAACAGGCGAATAGATAGGGAATCTCCTGTATATTCACATGAAGTAATACTTCTCAGCAATAAAAATTGAGTAACTACTGATATACACAGTAATATGGATGTGTCTCAAAAACATTATGTTAAGTGAAAGGGAACAGACATAAATCAACTACATATTGTATGAACTCATTTATATGAAATTCCAGAATGAAAAACTATAGTGATAAAAACAGATAAGCTGTTGTCAAGAGCCAGAGGATGCAAAGAGCAATATAAGTGAACCCTTGGGGATAATGTTCTATGTCATGACCATGGTGGTATTTACATGAGTATAAACATTGTTAAAACATATCCAATTAAAACTTTAAGGTGATGAATTATATTGTATAAATTGTATCTCAGCAAAGCTGGCAAGAAAACTAAAAACATGCATGCTCTATATAAAGAAAACCGTAGAACTTTGTTAAAGAACAAAAAAGGTGACCTGAATGAATGCAGTTTCTGAAAACATGTTCCTTATTTCCTCCTGAGCCCTCACCCATCAGGCTTTTAACCTCCATATTTGTACTGACATCTGTTCAGGATGATTTACAGATTCTCTGAGACAATCCAGGTTTTTCCCCCGACGTTCTTCGCCTCCTTCTGTGTCCTCACTAGCAGACTTTAGCATCCACATTTCTACAGACAAACTGCTCAAGGCCATCTAGGCTTTTTCTCTCATTCTGCTTATAATTCTTCCTGCCTCTACCCACTGCCCAAAGCCACTGCCACATTTTTAGGAATGTGTTAGAGCCATAACCCACTTCTAAGAACCAAAGTCTGTAGTAGTCTGATATTGCTGCCATAAAATTTTACTACAAATAGTGGCTCAAAACAATACAAATGTATTATCTTACAATGAATGTCAGTTAGAATTCTGACACAGGCCTCACTGGCTAAAATCAAGTTGTTAGCAGACCTTCATTCCTTTCTGGAGGCCGTAGGAGACCATCTGTTCCTTGATTTTCCTTCCACTTCAGGTCATCCCCATTCCCTACTCCCTTGTCACCTCTTCAAAGCCAGTGATACTGCACCTCTCTGACCATTCTTCCATAGTCACTGCCCCCTCTCTGCACGGCCAAGAAAGGGTCTCCACTTGAAGGCCTATGGGGTATATTGGGCCCATCCAGGTAGTCCAGATATTCTCCCCCATCTCAAGGTCCCTTGTTTAATTCTATCAGTAAAGTCCTTTTCCATATAAAATAACAGATTACAGGTTACAGGGATTAGGACATGGAATTGTTGTGGGGGCATCATTCTACTTACCACAATACTTAAATAATAATGATGATGAAACTCTGGTATTAAAAACTCATTTCTAACATAAAAAGCAAGTAAAGTCAGTCTTACTTCTCCTCTTGGCTTTTCCCGAAGTAGAATTGTTTCTAAGCTTCGTAGTATCTAGAAAATGACAGGTGGTGATGAGAGAACAGAAATGAAAATAAAAGTTACGAATCTATGGATGGCTTGAGTTTAATAAAGGTGTTTGATTTATTGCTTCTCTCTTCCTTCTAAAGGAACTGAAAAGCTACTGTATTGAGAAGTAGGAGTCCAGGATGGGCCCTCAGTCTTTTTTATTTCTCAATAGCACTTTGAAAAATACCATTACATGGATCCTAAGGAACTGAATGGATGGGAGAAGTGGATGGAGATAATCTCAGAGACACAGAGAAAGAACTGAGGGTTGTTAGTTGGGAGGGGGTGGGGATGAAAGAGAAGGGGAAGGGATGAGACAATATAATATGGTAAATACAATAGGGCCTCAGGAATAGGAAAAGACAGTCTGAGGAATATAATCAGTAATGTTGTAA